CTGCCCCAGCTCTGGCTGTTTAAGGAAAAAAAAAAAACCCCAAAACCCCGACTCACTGGTTCCTGCCTGGCAGGGAGCGATCCCCGCTGCCCCCCACCATGTGTGGGGCTCTTCCATGAGCCCCCTGAAGCCCCAAAGCTGCTGCAGGAACCAGTGAGCCCAGGGGTTTTTTCATTTTTTTTGTTCTTAAAGGGCCAGAGCTGGGGCAGGTGGGGCAGCCATGGGGGAGCTGGGGAAGTGGGGGTGGTCAGGGGGCTTGTGGCAGTGCCCCCCATGGAGCGTAGAGGGCAGTGGAGGGCAGCGGGGATCACCCACCCACCCACCAGCACCCAGTGAGTGGGGGCTTTTTTTTTAAAGGGCTGGGAGCTAGGGCGGGTGGGGCAGCCATGGGGGGGAAGCTAGGAGAGCAGACAGGAGTCGGGGAGGCTGGGGGAGCAGGCAGGGGATGGGGCCTAGCAGGGGTCCCCCCATGGTCCTCTCCCCCCTCTCCTGCCCCAAGTTACCAGCTCCAAGTCCGGCTCCAGCTCCCTGTTGCAGTGAACAGGGACTTTCTGAATCATTGAAGCTCTCCAGATCTTTTTCAAGGATTCAGAGAGCTTCGAATCAATTTGGACCTTTTTACTGGTCCCCTGATTTGATTCAGATTTGGAGATTTGGCCGCCGAATCGCCTCCAAATCGAATCACCACCCAAAGCTTCGCACAGCTCTAATGAATACATGTCACAAACGACAAGCGAGGAGCACAGATCCACACAGGAGACTATATTTTGGTGCTCATCACTCCCAAAATTCACCACACAAAGCAGCTGACTGTGCAGTTCCACCACACCGATTGCATAAGAGTGAATTACCTCGCATATAATCAATTTTTGGTATAAAAACGGTCATGGCGTAAGAGCAAATTCACACATACAGAACTGCATAAAGTGAGGGAAACCTGTATACTGCATTAGCTGTCTCTGTGCTGTTATGGTAGTTGATGCTTGCTATTTTAACACTTGCTATTTTAAAGACTTTCTTGAAAATTCAGAACATAAAGCAAAACAAAAACAAAAAAACACCAACACAGCAACTACAGAACTGACTCTCACTTATTACTGTGAGAAAATGTATTCAATTTAGCCCATCATGGGATTTTTCAAAACAATATTGCTAGTAAGAGAGAGATCCATAAGGTCGTTCCAGGGATATTTGACTGGATTATATACTTCTGATTCAGCAGCACTGAAATCACAGGTAAAACCCCCAGAAATGCAGGATCAGGATCTCTGTTTGTAGGGAACAGGTGGGGTTAAAAGAGCATAATGAACAAGCCTGGGGTGAAGTCTTGGAGCCACTGAAATCAAGGTCATAACTCCCACTGATTTCACCCATTGAGTTCTGTTCTTTTCAATTAATACTGGCCTTGAGTTGAATTTGTAAGAAACCATTAAGATTTCAGTCAGCTCAACAAAGCATTTCATTATGTGTTGAACTTTAACATCAATGTTTGAAGCATTTGCTTTGCTGAATATGGTCTAACAAGAAATCTGTTTCTGAGGTTTTCTGGACAGGTCTACACATGATTCGTACAAAATAACCTCATGAAACTGGTAGACCATACAAACAATGAGCTGTTGCCCAGTTACTTGCTGTAGCTCCTTGCTTTCCCACTTCTCTTCACACATTATTTTACAGGGACTTCTTCAATTTTGTTTTATTGCAGTATATAAAAATTAACTATGTTTGGTGCCATCTAGTGACTTTCTGTGGAGACTCCTACAGTAGAAGAGTAGGCCGCATGAAATACTAGCCACAGGGCTTGGCAGCCTTCTAAAACAGCCTGAACATGTTGACAGACAGACATCAGGAACAGAATCTAGTGTCTAAAACAGCAGGCTTGAGAAATGAGGTTATTTTCTGATGAAACACTGGCAAAGTAATTCATGGCCTCATTTTCAAAGGGCCAGAGCACCAAAAATTCATAGTCTTGATGTCTGAACCTGCCTATAAAATTAGATCAATTTTTAGTTCATATCGTTATTTTTATCTTTACAATCTTAAATTCATTAATGTCATAAAATGATTAAGGCTTTCAGTTTTAAAGTGCTAAAGAAAATGCATAGTATTATTGTAATCTTAGGATCACAATCCTTTAGCCTCCATTAGTGGAAGTTAATTAAATAGGGCTGAACACTTAGAAAAATGTTCTAAAACATGATGCCTTTTATCATTTTAAGGAATGAGTCAATTATCAATAAGTATGTCACCAATGTTTTATACTATTGCTTCCCAATTTCTTGATAAGAAGTGCTATGCTTAAAATGAGCTTGCTGTGGTGATAGTCAACAAACCAAATATTCTGAACTGAAACCAATCCCTTGAAAACTGGTATTTTTTGGAAATGTTCTAAGCTCATCACAATAAAGTTTCTGCTTTCGCATCGCTGGGGAAAAATTATTAGTGGAAAAAGGAATTTATTTTTTTAAAGCCCCCTAAACTGGTCACCAACAGCAGCTCAAAATACAGTAAATGGAGAGGGGGAAACAAGGGAAAGAATCCTTATGTTAGCTTTACAAAAGCCATTTTGATGCTACATTTTGGCATTCCCAGGCAGTTATTGACTAGATGGATTAAGAACTTGGGTAACAGCCAGTTAGCTCATAGCTGCTACATTATACCCTGTTATTGCTCAATAGCACAGTCACATCGGGACAGTACAAGTAAATGTGAAAGGAAAACATATCCCAGAAAATGACGGGACAAATATAAACAAAAGGGAGCCTGATTGGAAGTGAGTCGATGAATATTTAGTGCTTATGTAACAATAATACTCGCAGACTATTTTGCCCTCATATAGCTGCGTCTAAAGGATCTTTAAGGTATGTCTGTACTACTGCTCAGAAACAATTCCTACCCACTCACTCCTACCCCATGCAACCCCAGACCTGGTAACAGGACAGAGTCATAGCTTAGAGGCATTGGGAGCATATGCATATTCTGTAATCAGAAACATTAGCTGATTAAAATTGGAAATAGTAAGGACATTAGATGAGAATAAAATAAAACATAGTACAAAGGGGTAGAGGGCCTAAATTTTCACTATGGTTACCTAGACATTCTGTGACCTACAACAGGCCTTTCAGAAACAACTGCTGATTTCAGCTGGAGTAACATCTGACAGATGCCACCATGTTACTTAATGCACTGTTGGAAGGCACTCAGATCCTGCAGTGATAAGGATGGCATAAGAACTTTAATAGTACAGAACAGAATAAGGGAAAAAAGGCTGAATCTCTCAGAAATCAAAGGGAAGAGAGCATACACTGAGACACGCAATCTTTTGAAGGTAATCAGGGATTCAGTGTACTGAAAAACCTCACTATGTCCGTCACCAACCAAAGGAATTGGGAGTATGCTGTACTGGCACCCCTATCCATTACGAGTGTGCGAAGCGGGCCCTATTCGATTTGGATTCATCCCGAATCTGACACAGTGATTCGATTAGTTGATTTAGATCACTGTCACCAATTTTGATTCAGCTGAATCTGAATCTGAAGATTTGATGCTGATTCAGAGAATGTTTTTTCTACATACCTCCAGGTAGCAGCACAGCTCATGAACGCTGCAATGCTGGGGCGAATGGAGTGTCCCACAGGAGCACAGGGTGGGGGGGCCCTCACGTGCTCAGCAGTGAACCACTGGGGAGCACCCTGGTGCCTCCCCAGCTTGGCGATCAGCCACAGGGGGGACCCTGGGTGCCCCCCCAGACCCAGGGAGCACCAGTTGCACGCTCCCCAGCGGATCTGGAAGTGGACTGGAACTGCTTCTGGTCCACTTCCGGGTCTGCTGCTGACCATGCTGAGGAGCCCCCCATGCTCCTGTGGGACACTCCGGCATTGCAGCATTCACAAGCTGCCTGCTACCTAGAGGCATGCAGAAAAAACATTTAAAGCTGAGTCTATGTCCGAATCAACAAATCTTTCCAAATCTTTGTGAATCGATTTGGAGGGTTCTGATTCAATTCAGAGAGATTAAAGGGTCCTCTGATTTGATTTGGATTGGAGATTTGGCCACCGAATCAGGGGCCAAAGCTTTGCACGGTCCTACTATCCATCTGTAATGTCTGCAAGGGAAAAGCATAAAAAATGAAAGACTTAAAGGAGCAAAAGAAAAAATCAAGACATCCATTGGTAGGAATCCCCTATATATCCAGGCTGCACAAGCCAAGATGTTTCATAGCTATTTCATGGTTCTATTGTCTTAATAGTGCCTAAAAGACAACCTTGCCTCCCCTTCCGTGCCCACTTTCACCCCACTGTGACCTGTTCTGAAAGGAGACAGGCTTTTTTCTGGCCTGACCATTTTTTTTTATTGTGCGTGCAACTATCCATCTGGACACCATGTGCTTTAAAAAAAAAAGAGCAGGTGTAGGTTGTTAGTTTCCTTAAAATGACCCATCTGTTAAAGGTACTTTTTCAGATATTGTGTCATATTTAATAGGTGGTATAACAAGCTTCTTTCCCTCAGTGCTCTTTGCATGTTACAGACCAGGGCAAAATTAGTTTTAAACAATATAAAAAATGATGATACAATTCCCATCACCTGCTGGATGAAGTAATATCTGAACTGGTTTTGCCAGTAACACATTTGCTATCTGGAGTAGCATATTAAAATAGCTTAGGTGTGAAGATTCTTTCCTGTTAGGCAACATATTTTTTGAAAAGAAAAAAAAAATCCTCAAGGGGCAATGCTTATCTTAGAGTTATTATTTAGCCGCCCCAAGTCATAGGTTTGTCGGTCTTGCCAGGAGTTCCTGATCCTGGTCCCATGAAAGGCAATAAGAATCTTACTGATTACTTCAATGGCAGTCAGATCAGGTGAGACCATTGGCACTATCAGTATTTTGTCATCTTTTAAATACCGGTAAAATACACCATTTCCAATACCTTTTATGTTTGAGTTCCACTGTGAACACATTCAGCACATTACAAAGTTTAGCTGAAAATTTGATTCTCTCCTAAAGTTATGTAAACAGACATAACCTGGGACATTATTCAGTCAAACAACTGCAAATCTCAAACTGCAGATCAGCCAAGGCACACAGGGCTGGGAGCGGAAAGCAGAGCATCAGACTGGCAAGGGAAGGGGATTGGAGTGGTATTCTGAGAGGAAGTAGGGCTAATTTGCGGCACGTCTGTCAAAAAGGTTGGTCCCTACTGTTCTAAATCCTTAAGGCCATTCCCCTACTATTGTAGGCACCATGTCGTATAATACCCTGGAATTAATTTGTCCCTATGACAGTTTCAGCCTAACCCCTTTCAGTAGAGATTGGCTTAAACCCTGAAGCAGAAGGCTTTGTAGCTGTTCTGAAATTCTTTTGAGCATTAATTGTGATAACTCTGGATAGTCTTATTATCCATCTCACTTTATGAATCAAGCTATGATTTTGATGTCCACTTGCTTTATGAATCAAGCTATGATTTTGATCCCACTGACATCTTGTGGCAATGAGTTGCACAGTACAACTGATAATTCTCATCTGGACTTATGTAAATTGGGCCTATTTCCAACGAATCTGTGTGTTTATCCTATGTCTATAGCAGTTGAACCAAGAAAAGAATAATTCCCTATATTTCTGGGATAGACTGAACCAAAACCTCATATTAAAATATTCATAACCAGGGACTTGAAATTCAAAACCAAATCTAAACTGTTCCAATGTCTGGAGTATTTGAATTCAATGTGTTTTAGAGAGAGGTTCAAGCTGTGAACTGGCATCCCAATTCAAGTCCAAGTCTGGGGTTTTGGTTCAAACTCATCTCTAAATGCAATAGTAATAAATATGCTTCTAATCAACATTTCCCATCATATTTGCATGTTTCTGACTTGTATCCTTGTTGATTGGTCTCCATGTAGCCTCGTAAATACATGTATATTAACATACAGGCATAGAGAGAAATCAACCTCATTCTGTGGTTCTATTACCATTTCATTATTAAGATTTATTTAGAAACTGTCTACTCTTATTCTTTGAGAATATTTTCCTGGAAAGGAGTGAATTTGTTCTCTGTCCAGATGTAGCAGGCAATAAAATAAATAGTGCTAAACCACAGAACCCCATATCTAGCCCACAGCAGGGCCTGATCCTAGACTCTTTACACTTTCCCTGAACTCTGTATGAGTTTTGACTTGCATAGAGATGAAGGAGCCTAACTTCGGGGAGATAAGAATTTCAGTTAAAGCAGCACCTAACAAAGTGTTAAAACAAAGCCCTGACTGGTCGGGGTGGAGGAAAGCACATATTTGGATGAAGGTTTCATTAGGGTTTGACAAAAACCATACAGTACCTTAGTGGCCAGACGACACTCCATTACCCTAATATTGTAATGAGAAGTTGCTGCTTTATTCATTTCAACACAACTGTTAGCAATAACAAAGGCTGCTTCACTTGGAAGCTTCACATCAGTTGCCCTCAGTGGATTGAATTCTATCAGCTTGGCCTATTGAAAAGAAAATTAATGGTCAGTTGTAATTTACTATTAGCTAACAGTACATTCACTGCAATAAATCAAATTCAAATTTGCATTATTCTTCAGCCTCAGGAACATACAGACACTAAATGAAGAAAATAGCTTTTACTTGCAGTTTCATGTCTATTTAACACCAATGACCAAATTACACATTTATTTCATACTTCTTTCTTAGAGATGGAATTTAACATCTATCCATTAAAAGCCCTCACTTTTTCAGAGAGTACCTCAGCACCCCACCTAATCTATTTTCTTGCTTGGTTTCAGACATTTTTTTTCAAACTACCTTTTTTTCCAAAGATGATTCTGGCTAGCCTTTGGGAAACTTAACTCTATCTGGAGCCAATGCAGCAGCACCAAAGCACATGGCTGCTGCTGAACATAAGAATTGAGACCTTAATACTGAAGCAAATACTGGACCTTAATACAAATCCTTATATCTGGATATCACCTGAAGACCCAGTCTTTGGAGAGTTCAAAGTCCTAATTCAGGTCTTTATCCACGATAACTATAGCTTAAACACTTAAACAACAGGTTATATTTCAGGAGGACACCTAGCATGCCATATTTCAAGGAGCCTGAAATGCAAAACAAATGGCTAGAAATAAACAGCAGCCAGTGTCTGCTGATGCAGTACAAATTTAGCACCCTCCCCTGCTCCCCATTTTATTCAGTGCCAAAGGACTGATGCACTGTTGCTCTCCATGCAGATTGCAGGATCAGTGCTTTCTCGTGTAAAGTGGCTTTTAGATAATCAGGAGGTCAAAAACTTTGCTGCTTGTATCAGCTGGGCTCACTGCACACATCAGGGGGTGGATCTGGCAGCCTTTCCCACACCAGAACATCCAAGAGAATTGTTTTGCTAACCATCACACTGGCATTTAATATAGGATACACAAGCTATCTGGCATGGGAAATTCTCCAGGTTCAGAGATTAATCAGTTGTTCAACACACAGTCTAATTCTCTCCTGTGGCATCTCTTCCTTTCCCATATACCCTTTCCATTTTCTTAATCTATTTTCATCTTAGTCCTTCAAGCATGTCACACATCTGTACCTTGTATACACTCATTGTGGACATACTTAATAGGGGTGTGGGAAATGAGCCCTATTCGATTTAGATTTGGATTCGACCCAAATCGGGGCCAATAACTTGATTTGTTAACTCGGATCACTGTCCCCGATTTGATTCGTCCGAATCTGAAGATTCAATGCTGATTTGGAGAATCAGTGATTCAGCCATAGATGCAGCTTTAAACGTTTTGTCTACATACCTCAAGGTACCAGGCGCAGCTTGTGAATGCTGTGATGCTGGGGTGGATGGAGTGTCCCACAGAAGCACGGGGGGGCGGGGTCCCCCGCATGCTCAGCAATGAACCCAGAAGTGGACCAGACGTACTTCTGTTCCACTTCTGGGTCCTCCAGGGAGTGCGCAGAGGGGCGCTCCGTACTCCTTAGGTTTGGCAATTGGCCACAGGGGTCCCCCAGATGTCCCCCAGACCCAGGAGGCACCAGTTGCTGAGTTGGGAGGATGTGGGAGGGGGCCCCCCCGTATGCTCCCTGGTGGACCCAGAAGTGGACTGGAACTGCTTCTGGTCCACTTCCGGGTCTGCTGCTGAGCACACTGGGGACCCCCCCACACTCCTGTGGGATGCTCCATCCACCCCAGCATCGCAGCCTTAACAAGCCACCTGCTACCTAGAGGTATGTAGAAAAGACATTTAAAGCTGTATCTATGTCTGAATTACCGAATCTTCCCAAATCTCTCTAAATCAATTTGGAGGGTTCTGATTCGATTCAGAGAGATTAAAGGGTCTCTCGATTCGATTCAGCTTCAGAGATTCAGCTGCCGAATCAGGCCAAATCTCCACCAAATCAAATCAGCGACCGAAGCTTTGCACAGCCCTAATACGTAGTGCTTTGAATATTCAACTAGCTTCTTCTGTTTCCTGTTTTTCATACTGATAACTATGAACAGGTAACATGTTATTAATTCACATTCAAAGATGAACATACAGTTCCTTCTTCTGCAAGAAATGATATTGACTGGTCCATTCCTCCTCCTTCTGTGCCAATGTAACGTTCACTCTTGGTGCAAATTTCTGCAAGTTCCACCTAAGAAAACATTGAATGTAAAGCTTGAGATAAGATAAAAGATGCTATTAGCTTGTTGCATACTATGAGAGAATACAGAGGACCATGCTATATCTCTGAGATCATCCTTTCCCACACATTCAGTACATTTAAACTAAGCTTCAGATGCCATAAGAGTCTGACCCCTTCTCAGTCTAAGCCAGTATCAGCCAGTGGGCCATATGGTCCTTGGCCTTTTGCTCTGAAGCATACCAGACTCACTGGTGAGATGCTCCAAAGTTAGAGGCTGCTCCAGAGCACCTCTTCTCCTCCTTCTTCATCCCCACCCCATGCTATTTCTACCCCACATCTGATATTTGGTTGCAATATTAATTGAATTCCAAGTATTCCTCTCAGTAATTAATGACAGACTATTGTACTGTATTTAATATGTTGACTTTATACCTAGAAATTACTTGTTGAACTTGACAAGGTTCTTTGAGTAAATGAGATTTCTTTCATTAGACTAACTAAATAGTTGGAAAAAATGTTCTTTGTAAGCTTTCAGCTACAAACACCCTTCTTTAGGCACATGGAGAGTTTGTTGTTTCTTTGTGTGCCCTTCTGGGTGGAATGGAAACCAGTATACAAGATGCAGGTCTGTGAAAATGCAAATGTGTAGCAGTGAGGATCAGAGGCCCTGGGCCCTTGCTGAACTTGAAAGATGTATGAGGCATTCACAGAAATCCCCATCAAGGGATCTGACACACCAGGCACGGGTAATATCAGTGGGAGCTTTGCCTTAGTAAAGAATGCACAACCAAGATCAATAAATCATGCAGGGTCTGATTCTAGCACACTCACACTGAGCAGAGCCTTTTTCTGAAACAAGTGTTGCTCTCACAGAAGACATGATTTGCCTCCATCTGCTGCTACTTTTTGCAGTCTTAACCTAGCCCTTAAAAGTGCTCCATAATCCCATTGTATAAATCAAAAACAAACAAATGGTCAAAGGGGCAAATTCTGCTTTGGGGTGGTGGGGAGTGTGTTTGGCTCTCACTGAAGCCAATGGGAGCATACTGTGGCTAATAACAGACACTGGATTTTTCCTTCAAGGAACAAAGCCATTTATTCTGGGATCCTACAATACAAGCTCATTGTCCCACTTTTAAGTACCTGTGAAGTATCCAAAATAACACTTTTTCCTAGACAATGTTGGGGGTTAATATGAGTTAACTGCTATTCAAGCGGACAAGGTTCTTTGAGTAAATCCAATATATTTTATCAAATCAACTCAAATGGTTGGAAAAATTCTTCTTAGCAAGCTTTCAGGCACAAACACCCTTTGTCAGGCTGAGGAAGCATCTGCAGATACAGACAAAAGGTATTTATGCCTGAAAGCTTGCTAAGAAAAAAATTCCCAACCATTTGAGTTGGTCTAATAAAAGTTATCGGATTTACCAAAGAACCTTGTCTGCCTATGGCCTTGGACCAACATGGCTACAATCTACACCCCTTATCATTCAAGTTGCTTGTGTAAATGACTGTCTGGGGCCTGTTTTGATGTCAGTCAAAGCCCAGGACAGCGGCTTCCAAGCTGTGGTACGGGTACCACCAGTGGTACGCAGACAACCTGTCAGTGGTACATGTTAACAGATTTATCATAATTACTTTATATGACAAAAATTTGCTGGTGGTACTTAAGGTTGTACTGTTTTCAGTTGGTGGTGTACAATCTGTCAGAGTTTGGGAACCACTGGCCCAGGACAATCTGGCCTGGGATAAACCTAAGTCTGTTGTTACCCTTGATGCATCCAATGACAGATGTTAGCTGAATGGATTTTGTTCATATATGTATGGTAAGCTCATGTCTGTCATAAGCTCATATTTTTATGTTCTTAAAATCAATAGACAAGGGACCCAGCCCTCCTCTGTGCCAGACCCATCACTGATTCCCCTTCATTCCCCATGGAACACGTCATCTGATTGTTTGAGATTTACCTCATTTTCTAAAATGAGCAGATTCTGTAAACACGTGAGTTCTTTTGTGTGGCTCTATGAGTATCTTCAGAGCGTCTGAACACCTTTCAGAGGAAAAAGTACTAGAGAAGGGTGGAGTATCACTGTCATCTATACTATATGTGACTTTCACTGCAAATACATTAAAGCATTTTAGACATCAGTTCAAAAGACAAAGGAGCCTTGGGGATTGTTCTGAGAACATATTATACCAACAAGTAAAAATGAAAGCTTCCAAGGACCTGTATTCCTGTGCCCCCATATCAGCTCATTCCATCAAGTGCAGTTGAATCATACTCAACAGGGAAGAGAGTACAAGAATAAATATTTTAACAGACCAGCAGCTTTCAGCCCAGGAGTAAGGTCAGATTCAGATTTCCCACCAGAGATCTGGAATCATGTGACCTTAAACAAGATAACCACCAAAGTAGCGACATTAGCCAGTGCACAGATGTAAAAGGTAGCAGATAAAGGTAGTCAATCACTACACTTGGAGGGAGGCCTGTCCACTCACTCCATTTCCATCAAGATGCAGGAAACAGACAAAAAGCTGTAAAGTGGGTGCGCAGGCCTATGCAATCAGACTGAGTAGCTTGCAAAACCATGAAAGGGTGATTTAAGCAGGTCACAGTGCTACTTCAGTTATGTAAAGCACCTGATAAACTTTGAGTTGATAAGAAGCTGTAAAAACATTAACAAATGCTCTCTACAGCTCTACTGGCAGAAGCTCTTTGAATCAGACATCAGGAGTGTTTAGATTGTCCTCAGAAGCCCATATCGGTATCTCTGTTTAAACAGATGCACTGAGGTAAAGACAAAGGGGTCTATCTCTCCTGCAGGCACAAAAACATAACTCCTTTCTGGGGTGTTGGTTGTAGCCTGTTGGTTTAAGGACACAGGCAGACAAGGTTCTTTGGGTAAATATGGTATCTTTTATTAGACCAACTAAATAGTTGGCAAAACTGTTCTTTGCAAGCTTTCAGGCACAAACACCCTTCTTCAGGCATAGCGAGACTCTGCTGGTGTTTTGTGTTCTCCTGGATAGAGAAATCCTCTATGTGACGATTGTGAAATCCTCTACGCAGTGCTTCAAAAACACCCAGGACACAACTAAGAAAGCTTCAACGGGGGCAACTCCCTTCCTCCCCACTGTCCTCTCTTTGTATATTTTAAAAGATGAACAAAAAACATGGATTGTGGCACTTCTGCATCTTTCTTAGGTATAAATAAGGCCACACATGGTGAGTATTTTAAGCAAAATTGTTTTTCCCTTAGTTTTACTTTGGAACTATCAGCAATGACAAATTTGGTGCTCTCTCGTCTTGTTGATAGGCTCAGAGAGGCAAGATCTTTCCAACCTATTAAGCCTGTATCTCAGACTGCCTTACACGTACCACTGTGTTTTTAACTTTGAACCACCAAGGTTCATACCCCTAAACTTTTCATCAAGAAGAAATGTTACCACATCAGGGTCCCACCCAAACATTCAGAGGTTCCTTTTTTTTCCTTTAAAAAAACAACACCTGAACTAATATTGTAAAATAAAAGAAGAGGCCCATGTACACATGGAAGCTTGTAGGTGAAGGTAGTTAGCTGATGTCAGGCAGAAAGCTCTGTGAGGATGGGAGTTACATTGTTTGAGGGTGGGGGTTTATCTGGAAGCCAGAACAGGTTTGTTCCCCTCAAATGACATCTTTCAACCAACAAGCCAAGTCATTCCTATCCTCACCAAGGCACCAGGCCTTGCAAGGGATCCAAATGCCTAATATGCTGCATGATGTTCATAGACCACATCATCACTGGACCAAATAACTAGGAGTATAACATCCAAGGTTCATTCACCTGCAACTCTACCAATGTCTCATGCACCATCACTGGCTTACAGTGCTCTTCAGTTGTCTACACTGGACAGAGAGGGTGATCTCTACCAGTAGGAATGAAAATGAATGAACACTGATCTGACATCAGCTGCAAAAAGAGACAAAGGCCTGTGGCAAAATGCTTAACCCCCCTGGACACAACATAGCTGATCTCAGGATTGCTGTTCTCAGGCAGCAACATTTTAAAAGCCAGTTTGAGTGGGAAATTAAGGAACAAGAAATCATCTGTGGATTATATTGTCATGTATGTACAGATTTTTACTTCGTTACCTAGATTAGCTTTTGTGACCCATTTGTTCCTACCCTATGGGTTCTTTGCTTGTTTCTCTCTCCCAGCACTGCCCCCTCTCCCCAGCCCCTTTCTCTCCCTTCTCCCTTCCCACCCCTTGTATTCAAATCTCACACTCCACTTCAGAAGGTTGTAAGAGGAGAACTGTTACAATCTTTTCTCCCATGCCTGAAAAAGGGTGCTCGTGCCCGGAAGCTTGCAATTAAAGAATTTTTTTTTGCAAAAATCTAGCTGGTATAATAAAAAATATCACCTCTACCACAAGCTCTGATTCCTCACTCCACTTTACACACTGCTCTATGCTTGTCCTTTCACAGCATCCAATGAAGTGAGCTTGAGTTCACAATTATGTTCTATGTGGGTGCAACTACACGAGATGCTAACTGTGCAGTAGTTTAATAACACTGTGCGGTAGCGTGCTGGGCAAAACCCATGCTAATACTGTACTGTGCAGTAGTATTAGGCAACTGTGCAGTTAGCATCCAAAAACACCTATGTGCAAGTGCTACTGAGCAGTAGCTCAAGTTACTGTGCATATTTTTAGTACTTGGTTATCCATGTACTACACTTAATGTGCAGTAACTACACTGCATTAATGAAAGTGTAAGCACAACCTGTATACCTTATAATTAGTCAATAAGTTATATATCTACCCTGCCTTCAGCTTGTAGGTGCTCACTCTTTGTACATGGAAGAGCGTGTGTTTTCAGATCTGCGTGCTCCCTTTTCAGTCGCCTGGAGGTAGGGCCACAGGATGTTCCCTGCTTCCTCTCTCCTGTGTCCAGATATGGGACAGTAACCCCTAGCATCACAACTGTATTCGGGATGGCCTTATTTATACCTAATGAAGATGC